AATGTTGTTTATTCTTCTTTGAAAATGGAAACTTGTTCACACACAAAAAAGATGGGTTATGATAGCTATCTAGAAAGATGATAAAGCACAATCTTTTATAATTAATATTTTATTGCTAAGTAGATGGAGTCCTGGTGTAGCACTGTAGGTTAAGCTCTTGACTACATGGTCAGTTTGAACTGCAAGGTTGGAGGTTCAAATTGACTAGCCGCTTCTCTGAAACCTTAGAGTCACTATGAGTTAGAACAGACTCGACCACATTTAATAACAACAACAGCAATGTAGGCAACAAGGTGTCTGTTTTTGTGGATTAGAAACATCGGATATAAGTTTAGGATTAAGTTCATTGTAAAACAGAGGGTCTTTATTGGCTTGTGGAAAATAGTTGCATTCCTGGTTAGAAAATGGCTTGGTAAGTAATTGGTTTTGTATACTTGCCAAAAGCTTGAGGAACATTGTAGTGTTTGTGTGAATAATTAAGACCCTCCCTCCGATCCTAGACTTTGTTAGTTGAACTTTGTACACTTAAACTTTATCTTGCCTGGGAATGTACAGATATATTTTCCACTTGGGAGCCCTGTTTTTAAACTAGCTTAAAGAGAGAATTCTAGATGTGGAAATAGAAACAAAGTAAAAATAGACAAATACTTCGCAAGTCTGCAGTGAAACTGGCTTTTATTTACATGGCTTTTATTCCTGTGTAGTGTTTGTGAGTTTAGCTTGGCTTCAATGCCATGTTCTTACTATAAAAACAAAATTGTCCTTTGGGCTCATTTATCGGTTTCTTCTTTAGTGTAGCCAGCTGAGTTTCATGCTTTATTTTAATGTTAACCGTGTACTTTGGAGGTAGTACTGAATCAGTTTGTTTCTCTGAAAATTTCATTGTAATGGGCTTTAAATCTAATTAAACAATGTGTTTTAGAAATAATAACTGATTCTTAAGTGTTTCATTTTTAATGAGTTGTTTTATTACTCTGAATGTATGCCTTTTAAAAGATCTCTAATATATATGTTTAACTTTTTGCTTTTAATAATTTCATTAAGTTGAGGGAATTCCTAAAAAATCCTGCTAATAATAATGAATATTGACTGAGTTATATTAGGAAATTAATGTTAAAGCAAGCACATTTTTAGCTAATTTATTGATACTGCACTTTGCTAATTAGAGGTTTAGAGAAATTTGTAAAACATTTAAACAAAAAATGAAACATTGCTTGGACTTGCTCACAGAAGGACTTCAACAATTATTTAAATAACCTAGATTTTTTTTTTAAGTACTGTTGAATCGGTTTGATTCATAGCATCTGTCCTAGACTGGGTTTTCTAGAGAAACAAAAACAGTGCAATATAGCTAGCTAGCTAGATAGGTAGATAGAGATATAAAGAGACGTTTATATCAAGGAAATGGCTCACAGTTGTAGAGATGCACAGAGCAGGGGCGACGGCAGGGTGATGGGCCACCAACGTCTGGCCAGCACTGGTGGTGTGGGAGCACACAAGCTGGGCCGACAGGAACAGGCATCCAGGGCCCTTTGGTAGGCGCTGGAAGACAGCCCAGATGAAAGATCCAGATCCAGTGGGGAAGAGGAAAGGGAGTCTTCCCTGCATGTCCGTTATATTGTGAGCAGGCCACATCCCCAAGGAAACATCCTTTCAATTGATTGGCTGCTCATAGCCAATCATTATAGAGGTAACTATCAACTAACAAAAAACTGGAAATCCTGTCTCAATTAAGTTGACATAGAACCTTAACTGTCACAACAACTCTATAGAATTTCCAGGGAGTGGTTTGAACCACTCACCTGGTGATTAACAGTCCAATGCTTACTCTGCAGTGCCACACCATATGATCCTTTTATGTTAAAAGTCACTTTCATTTTAGTTCTAGAAATGATCTACTTTATGAAACTTTCAGAAGTTTTAGAAGGGCAGTAATTCTTAAGCCAAAAAATAACAGATTTCTGACAGACTTGACGCACATGTTCACGGAGAGGTAAAGAAATAGCTCCTTAGTCCTTTTATCTTGGGGAAAAATAAAACAAACAAACAAAAGAAAGCAAGAACACAATGGAATTAAGCTAGCTTGCAACCGCAAATAAAAAGTGTTAGAAATTATACAAAGAATTGGGCTTGTCAGTTATCAATGATTTTTATAGTGGTGTTCTTGTCAATTGTCATCAAGTTGGTTCCGACCCATAGCACCCCTGTATAGGGTTTCCAAGGAGGGGCTGATAAGTGTGAACCGCCAACCTTATGGTTCTAACTGACTCTGCAATCCAGTGCATTAACTCACAGCACCACACGATGCACAACCACTTATGCCTCCCATCACAATTGACTTTATAGTTCTAATATTTTAAAGCAGTTGAGATTTCCATTTTCAGAGTGGCTGTGACTTTATTTTATTGTCATTTGGTTCATTTTTTTAGAGTTGAAATATTGATAATGTTTAATTTCAGAATGAATTACAAAATCCTACCTAAAATGCTACTTGTTGTTTGTTGTTGTTACTTGCCATCTAGTTGGACTGACCCATGGCGTAAGTCAAAAAGTATTGCTACAGAACATAGAAACTCTTATTAAACAAAAAATTCAAAATGTAAAGCTGTTGTTTCTTTGCCATATCTTCCATTTAGGCCTATACACTTCTTCTTCTTTTTTTTTTTAAAGTTTTTATTGTGAATTATCCCCATTGCCTTTCACCAGCTCAGTCCAGATAGGTTGGAAACCACTCTGAAGATTCTACCCTCCCCTGCACCCTCTGAAACTAGGCTCCCTCTTTTTTTTTTTTTTAAAGTTTTTGTGAGGTTTACATGGGAGAACATCAGCTTTACACTCATCCTATCATATTTCGTTTCATTGCAATGATTACAGTTCCCTCCAGGCATCATCAAATAACCAAAGGGTTATTTTGCACACAGCCCTTCTCCCTCCCTGAGTCCAGTGTTCCCAGCAGCTACATCTGTCCACGTCATCGTCTCTGTCTCCGTCTCCATCCCTGGCGTCAGTGCCTCTCTGGGTAGGGTCCTGCTCTCTGTTCTTCTCGCTTGATGGTCCCAGGGACCTCCGCTCCTCAGCTACAAAATCAATCACTGTCCTCATTTTGTCAAAAAACATCTACCTCTGTATTTTCTACCTTCATAATCAGTCCTGGTGGCAATTATTCACTATTGTACCACAAGAGTCTTATCCCCATTTCCTTTCACCAGCCCAGTCCCAATAGATTGGAAATCATTCAGTGCTGATACTACCTTTCCCTGCCCCGTCTGGAACTAGTCTCCTCTTGAAAGCTTGTAAGCCAGTCACTTCTTGCCTTTATAGCTCCCCCCCCCCCCCCCCCACCCACACATACACCATTTTGGGTATCCAGTGTCTAAGTAACCCATTCCCTGTCAACCCTATGTGCCGAGGGGGTGAAAGTGATCCTCACTGTAAAGATTTGTTCCCTTTTTTCAGTTACTACATCCATAAATATAGATAAAGTTCATCAAATAGTAGCAGGTTACTCTTTTTCTCCCTCCTCTTCTTCTTCTAGTCAAGTTCTGATCATCCAGCCATTGAAGCCATCTGAAAGTATGGGTGTTCTTGTGCATCTCCCCCCACTTCATGTCAGCTGGATGCTTCACTCTCCACTCTAGTCATCTGTGGCCATGTCACTGCCTCTGGGCCCAGGAGTCTTGCCATACTGCTGGCCAACCAGGTCTCAACCCAAGTTCACAGGGGTCTATTGAATGTGGTTGGCCTTAGCTCGTAACTTCATTGCTGTTTTTTCTCCCTCTTCCCCTTATCGGTGACCAACGTGGTCACCAGCCAGACCACATGCCTGCTTATGCATTCCCCTTGAGTCTTAGTCTTGGAAGGGAGTTTGCTCTGAGGGGTCCCGACCTCTTGCCTTTATGGTTTCCAGGTGAACAGCTAACCTGTTCTTGTAGTAATCAGTCAGACTGCCATTATTGTTTCGGATTTTTCCTGCTGGTCTTTCTTTCACGAAGTATCTTCTGTTCTTCTAACTGCTCCATGCGGTCTACTCATCCTTTCCAGTGGAAATTACCTACCTCAGTTGGTTCTGGATGGGGTTCTGGATTCCACCTATGGTCTTGTACAAAGTAAAGGCTCCACAGGAAGCCTTTTTCACTGGGCAACTTCTAAGAAACTAGGCTCCCTCTTGAAAGCTTGGAAGCCAGTCACTTTGTGCCTGTCCCCCAACACCCCATTTTGGGTAGCCAATGTCTAAGTTGCCCAGCCCTGTCAACCCTTTGTACTGAGGAGATGGGAATGATCTTCGCTGTAAAGATTCATTTTGTCTTTTGAGCTATTATATCCACAAGCATAGGTCAAGTTCATCAAATTGTAGAGGATTACTTTTTTTCCTCTTTCTTCCTCAGTCGAATTCTGGTCATCCAGCCATTGAAGTCAAATGGGTACTCTCTGCTAGTATGGGTATTCTTGTGCATCTCTTCTCACTTTATATCAAGGCCTGTTGTTAAGTGCCGTCGAGTCAGTTCTGACCCATAGTGACCCTGTACAGGGTTTCCGAGGCTGTCAATCTTTACGGGAGCAGAAAGCCTCATCTTTCTCCCGCAGAGCGGCTGGTAGTTTCAAACTGCTGACCTTGCGGTTCACAGCCTGATTTGTAACCACTACGCTACCAGAGCTCCTTAAAAAAGCTCTAGTATTAGGGTGGGAAATTGTAGGTACACACTAGATTAGCAAAAGGCTCTCTAATGGTTTGGGGCTTGTTCATATGGCAGTGTCCCCTGGAGGCCATATCAAGGCCTATACACTTCTAATTAGAGTTCAGTGAGAGGGGAAATCAAGATTTGTGCATGTGTTAATTTGAGATGTCTGCAAGTACTCTTTTTTTTTTTTTTAAATTTATCCATATTAAGCTTTATTCTGAATCAGTCATTTATCAGAGTGCAAGTGAAAAAGTAGAGAAAAAAAAAAAAAAAAGGAGCCCATCAAAAAAGTTCCTGGCCAGTAGGAGGGAGGGCACAATGTTAGGATCCCTGTTTAGAGAAGGAAATGTTCTCGAGGTCATGGATGCCATTTTTGTCAATGACTCGAATGCTGAAGGTTGGCAGATTCAGGATGAAGTGTTTCTGGAGCTCCTTCAGACATTTCCTAAGAAGCTCCACTGCCTTCTCATGTGAGATAGTTGGTATATAGTATCTATCCACGATACTGAGAGTCAGAAAGGCACCATAACCATGGGCTGCAAAAGGAGCCTTTGCCAAGGCCGCCAAATAGTCCTACTCCGAAGACAGTCAGCCAGCTTTCGGTGAGTGAAATTTGCTGCTGCTGTGGGAGACAATTCATATCCATTTCGCATCTTACAAAGCTGTACATTTTCCTGAATACATTTTGCAAATTGCACAGTGTCACCAGCCTCTCCAACACAAAGGAGTAAGATTTTTCCACTCATCTTTAAACATTTTGTCATGATTGTCCTTCATTTGGACAATATTGCTGGTGGCCACGCAGTCAGAGGTGACCAGGATGTGGTCGGGGCCCTGGATGCCGATGAGGTAACTCCATACTAGAGGGAGGCTGGAGGCGGTAGGTTCTAGCTACAGAGCTCGGCTCTCACTGGCTTCTCGGCCTCACTGGTTACAAGTACTCTTCTGAAAACGTCACAGCAGTTTTGAAATCCTGGTGCACAGATATTTGTGAAGATAGATAGATGGTAGTTAAATTGTGGAATTTATGAGATTCTAGAAGGGGAACAGCTCTGGATTCTCCCTACTTTTAGAGTGTGGATTGCTGTGTAGTTTACTTAAAAAGAATCTGTGGCATGTAAAGTTTAGTTTATTTAATGTGAATTAAGGAGAGTCCTGGTGTCACAGTGGTTAAGAGCTTGGCTGCTAACTCACAGGTCTGAGGTTTGAATGCACAGCAGCTCCAAGACAGAAAAGACCTAGCAGTCTGCTTCTGTAAAGATTACTGTTTGGCTCTGCCTATCTATAGAGTGGCTATGAGTGGGAATCAATTTGACAGCTCACAGTGATGTTAATATGTATTCAAGATACGGAAATCCTGTAGGTCCATTCTGCTCTGCCTATCAGTTGCTATGAGTTAGAATTGATTTGACAGCACACAATGATGTGAATATGTATTAAAGATACATGTATATGTACATATATATAAGATGTTTTTTAAAATAAATTCTGGCAGTGATGTGGTATATGAGACAAATATGCTGTTATGTCCACTCTTGTCACTTGTTAAATAATAGCATACCAGTTGTGTGACTGTGGAAGTTTACATCTCTTAGTCTGTCTCTGTCTGCTAAAAGGAGGGAATAAGAGCAGAGTTGTTTGTAAGATTGTTGTGAGTTGCTATAGAGCCATGATGACCCCCTGCATTTAGAGTAGATCTGCTTCAGAAGGTTTTCAAGGCTGTGACCTTTTGGAAGCAGATTGCCAGACCTGTTTTGCAAGGTGTTTCTGGGTGGGTTTGAACTGCCAGTCTTTGTTTGAGTAACCAAGCAATTTGCCATTTATACCAGAGAGATTAATTTATCTAAAGTGTTTAGAACAAAGTCAGTTATACAGAGAACACTCAGTATTTTCTTTCCCCGTGTTTTGTTCTCCATTTATATATATATGTCTGTGGTATGTGTGTGAGCAAAAGAGCCACCTTGAAAGAGAAGTAGTATATGTGGGTAAGTCAAAAAGTATTGCTACTAGGTTTCCTGTCCATATATACATGGGTTTATTCCAAATAAAATGTCCTTAAACATGTTTCTTTGGTCAGTGGATGGTTACAGACAAGCTTTCTCAGTATTATAATTAGTTTTATTAGAGAGCCTTTAAAAAAAAAGTATTCTTTTAAATGTTTTTTCCTTTTTTTACAGTAGGGATAAATTTATTGGCATAATTAGCTTATTTTCAAACAATAGCTTTATTGAGATGTAATTCATGTAATGTTCAAGCTTACCAGCTGCTCCTTGGAAACTGTCTACAGGGTCACTATGGGTCGGAATCGACTCAACGTCACTTAACAACAACAACAAAACTCCACAATTAAGTGATTTTTAGTAAATCAAAGAGTCGTGCAACTATCACCACTATCTAATTTCAGAACACTTTTGTCACCTCAAAAAGAAATCCCCTGCCATTAGAAGTCACTTCATATGGGATCTCCCCTCTTCTCAGTCCATGGCACCTACCAATCTACTTTCTTTTCAGTGTATCTGGACATTGAATGTAAATAAAATCATATGTAAGTGGCCTTTTGTGGCTGATTTCTTTCAGTTAGCATGTTTTCAAGGTTCATCCATGTTGTAGCATGTAGCAGTATCTCATTCCTGTTTCTTTGCTGAGTACTTTTCCACTGTATGGATATACCACATTTTATTCATCCACTCATCAGTTGATGGACATTTAGATTCTTTCTACTTTTTCATTATTATGAACAATGTTGCTATGAAGATCTGTGTACACGTTTTTGGATGGATGGATATGTTTTCAAAATTACTGGGTCATATGGTAACTCATGTTTAGTTTCTCAAGATATTGGCAAACTATTCTTCAAAGTGGCGGGACCATTTCACAATACAACTTCACCATACCCATATGAGAGTTTCAATTTCTCCACATCCTTGCTAACATTTGCTGCTTTCTTCTTTTTCTTCTTTTTTAAATTTTAGTCATTCTAGTTGATGAGAAGTGATATCTCATTGTTTTGAATTGAATTTTCCTTATGACTAATGAAGATTTACACCCTCGGAACCGACTCAACAGCACTTAACAACAACAAAAATGATGTTGGACATCTTTTCATATACCTGTTGACCATTTGTATGTGTTCTTTATTTATTATTTTTTTTAATTAAATGATTTTATTTTGCGTTGAGTGAAAGTTTACAGGGCACATCATCAGCTTCACATTCATCCATTCATATAGCTTGTTTCATTACATTGATTATTATCCCC